ACTTAGGCGCTTGAACACGGTATCACCGATGCGGAAGTGGTTCACGCGTGGAAGAGCAATGCGTTACCGCTGCGGTTCTGGGTCAATCTGATCAAGAATCCGCACTTCGTGTTCGATATTCAGAAACCGACCAAGGTACGGAAGTGCTCATGATTTTGACTGTTTTATGTTTATTTCATATGCTATATAAACTCGATCACCGAAGCTCCAGTAACGGGATGGTTGTGGATTTGACCATAGATTTGAAATGGACCAGAGAATTTAATCTTAAGTAGGGACAAGAGAGGGGCTCATTGTTAGGAGATCCTACATATCCTCTGCGGAAAAAATGCTCGCCACTGTGCCTATAACTCGTGGGACGATTCGGGTTCAATTTTCAATCTGGGAGTCGAACTTTTCCAAAATTGTGATTTGTTATTACCAGTTAGTATGGAGTCGGATTTGTTGTTCACCTCGAGACTGGGCCAACTAATGCTTGACAATTTCTAGTTAATTTTACGCCTTTTTTCTAATATCGAGCTCTCCAGGTTGAGGGATGTTTATCCGTTGTGGCTCAAACTCTGATGGATGCCTGTTCAACGCAAGATCATCAGTTAACGAAAGACTCACCGTCGAGTAAACTGTTGTTTGCAAAGGATATGTATCAGTACCGAGACTGGGTGGACAGGTTTGTCGTTGATTATTTGTTCCACTCTTACGCTACTTACCGGATACACGAGATTTTTTTAGCTACTATTCCGATATCGCCCGTTTGCCACCGATTTCTGATCAAGACATGGCATCGTTGTTGAACGAGGAGTCCCGAATTCATCGAGGCCAATTCCATGTGTTCTCTGCATTGAATGAGCTCTACAAATACCTGGATCAGTACAAAGATCCAATTATGGACGCTCTAGAGCACAATGAACACGCTCAAGCAAGCCGACTGCCTGGAAGGTTACAGGTCGGTTCTTCGAGTGTTAACTTACTAAATACTGGGGTAGCAGAAGACATTAAAGACTTCACCTTATTAGTCTTCTCCAGGATGGCGTATCAGGCGAGAACGCCCTGTCTCTGAAGGTGCTTAAGCCCGTACTTGTGCCCTATAAGCAAAAGTATTGGTTCGAAAGTCATACAGTACTAAGCGTTTCATGCCCAATTCGAATCTTTATGGTAGTTTCGCATGACGGGGCCTACTATAACGCTTTTGGAATATTTCAATTCAGTTTTTAAAAGTTGAAGGTTGTCATCATCTC